TTTAGCCCCTTCGTACGCACATATGTGCATACACGTTTATATTTATACATAAAAATAAATTCTTACATATGTATGCATATACGAGAACATACATACAGGCCTCATTGTAACGTCATAAGCAGTACGCCCCAATTAGTCAGACTTTTATTCCCAGGTGTTCAATCCCCTTATCGAGGTATCGATTCAAATTTTTTTAATTAGGTGCATACATACATGCATACGTATACATATACGTTTTTGTGCGTGCCTTTTAAATTTTCATTATGGACCTGGATACGCTTTGTTCTGGTATTCCTTTATTTATTCGACGGTGAAAAATTGATGTTTGCCTGGCGTCCGCCGTTAGTTAATCAATTTTCTTTTGTTGTACTTATTTATGTGCTAATCTTCCAGGTTTTGGTCTTTACATAATTTGTAGGAAAAAAAAAATCTTTCATAAAAGCCATTTACTATTCAGGGTGGCTCGACAGTATCGCAAAGCCCAACACACAGAAGTTCGACCACGCCTAATACTCGTAATGAACGAGTGTGCAAAGCACTAGCGTGCCATTCGAGTGATCCGAGTTCGAGTCCTCGGGCAGCGCAATTTTTTTTTCTTAATTAAATTTTTTTTTATATAAATTATTTTTCTATATTATTGCTTCAAACAGAAAAGTTTCTTTCCAATTTAATTTATTTTAAAAGACTTTTTTTGTAATACAATAGTTTTTATTTTCCATTAGTTTTTATATTTTATTGTTTTGAAAGGAAAATTGTTTTTTTTCAAATTCATTTAATTTTTAGGAGCTTATTCTATCCTGTATTTAGTTTTTTTTTTAATTTTTTATTTTAATATTTGATATTATTATTTAAAAAATTAGCTTTTTTTGTTTAATTTCATGTTATTTTATAACATTATTTTATCATTTTTTACTAGTGTTTATTTAATTTTCTTTTAATTTTTAGTTTTTATTGTTTTAATTTCCTTCCCTTTTTGTTTCATTTTTAGAAACATATATTTTTTTACTTCTATTACTTTTCTTTTTATTTAACCTTTCAGATTTTCTTGTTTTAAAAAGAAAAATATTTTTTGAGTTCTTTTAATTTTAAAAACATTTCTTTTCTGTTTTTAATTAACTAACTTTTTTATTTGTTATTTTTTTTTTTGTTTAGATTATATTATTTTAAAAAGGAAAATATTTATAGTTTTATTTAATTTATAATTTTTATTTATAATTTTTTATTTTATGTTCGTTAATTCAATTTTTAAATTGTATTGCTTTAAAAGGAAACATATTTTAATTTTATTTTAGAAACTTATTTATTTTTTTTTTAATTTGCTTTTAATTTTTAGTTTTTATTGTAATTTCATTTCATTTTTTTTTGGAAACTTATTGCCAAAATACAAAAGAAAAGAGCTTTCAAGGTTGTTGCCAGAATTGACAATTGTCTTACGAAGGACTGTTGTCTTTCGAAGGACTGTGGTCAGTTGAAAGACATTTCCTGCTCATCTTCACACCGGTATTCCCATCTACACACTCTGATACAGCTTTTCAGGGCCCACTATGCGTACCGATCTTTACCCCTGTAATAGCAGGAAGTGAAGGTCACGTTCATCGGGGAAAATCATAAGGATAACGTTTCTAGTAAAGGCGATGGAAATGGTTATCGAAAGGCAGTAGAAGAGAAATTTTTCTTAGGACGAACTACTCTGCCTTCTATGTCATCAGAGTTTCCATTTTTTTTTTTTTTTTTGACATCAGGCATAAACTGCCACGGAGCTCGCTAACTCTGTCTTTCATGCTGAGGCACACATCAAATTACATTCTGCCCCAAGGGCGGCACTCCTCGCCTTGTAAGCACAAGATGTTACCTTAAGTCTGGTGTCGTTTTGTCTTAATACTCCAGGAATCGGACTCTCCTCAATTTGGCACCAAGACATGGCCGAATAATGGACAAAGAAGTGACAGATATTTTCACCAGGAAAGGGGCGGCACTTGATTCACAGCTCCAGAACCCCGTCATCGGTCTGACGTGGAACTCCACAGTAGCATTGAGGTGAAAACTGAAATTATTTTAAATTCAGGACTTTGATAATAGCAAAGTTGTCCTCTGCTGAAGTCTAGGTAAAATTCCAAATTGTAATAAAAATACATATTTATTAAAAAAATTTAAAACATACATACATGCGTCAATTTGGTTTCTAAGATTAAAACAAAAATTTATGAAATTGCAAAATCAAAAGAGATTAGTCTTCTAAAAAGTTACAAACTTATTTTTTAGAGGTTTATAAAACCAATTTCCAAACCAAAAGTATTTACTCTAATATATCAAGCACTAATTTGGCTTGCTGACAACAGGAACACCAGCTGCAACGGGTGCTTTTGTGGCACCTCCAACTGCTGGCACTTGGGTGACTGTGCTGGATAAACGATCGCTCGCTGTAGTCGTAGGCCCAGAAATTACCTCATTGACTGCACTTGAAACTTGACGTCTATCACGTACCAACAAGACTTTCTTTTGCGTTTCACTGCCTATTCCACGAGCTGACAATGCTTGTGAAATCAGCAATTGTTTGGTTAAAGGCTTTGCATAGCGTGGCACTTTTACTTTAACCGCTTGTAAAGCAGGCTGACTAACTACTCCTACACCAGCTAGTCCTAATAGACGTATTTCACCAGGTAAAATTACGCGATATTCCTCTTCACTAGATTCAGACGATGCGGATACTAAATATTGTATCTGGACACAGATGAATGCTGTAAGATAATTTGAAAAGTGATTATATTTTTCCTTGAAGTTAAGAAAACTGTAGCATTGTCCACTCACCTGTGACGAAAATCATAAAGGTATTCATGTTTCTTGGTGTATGGGTGGCTTGCTTATGTCTGTTATTGCTTAAAATTAACCTATTTTCACCGAAATTTGGTCGGAACTATGGTACAAAAATAATACTAATTTTACCGCTGATGTATGTAGTTGTTATCGCGTTTGTCTGAAACTACCACAGCCACAGTCCAGTTGTGCTCCCTGTTTGGCAGCACATTACTCAATGACAGTTAAGGAGACAATTCCCTTCTGTTTTTAACCTTTCGCCGGCCATGCCTTTATTTCTCAGTGAACCTGTATACACACATACATATTTACTCATACCTTTACACCTTACTGAGAATCGCATCGTTAATTAATTTGTTTGTTTAAAGTGCCTTATCAATCTCATCATGTCGCAATCGCATCATAGCTTCCGTTTGTCTGACTTTATTTCCAGTGTTTTTTTTTTCTGCCCCTCCTTTGGGATGAGAAACGAAACATGTTTTTTGCCAGTAATACACTGATAAATATGGAACGATTTTGTCGGCACACACCCAGTTTGTATCCGAAAATTATCCAAATTGACGAACGGCCGGTGGAAAACTAAAAATATTTGATAAATATGGAGGTAAGTTTTACGATTGTACTGGTTTCTCTCTTACTTGGGGACAAAATGTTCGAAAATAAATAAAAAAAGGTTCATCGCACTGGATCAAATGCGTACCCAATCTGATATTTCTGACTACTATTTTAGTGGAATATAAAAGTAAGGAACTGTTCGGCATATCAAATCTCTAATTTAGGCAAGATTCATTCGTGCCGCCAAGGAGAGGTTATTGCAATGATATTTTAATCAAATCTCCAAGCTGTTTGTCTGATTTTTAAGCTGCTAAACCAGCAACACCGATAGCATTTTTGAAGATTACGCCTCTTCTTCGGCCTTATACCTCCTTTATGAGTAGGTCGAAAGGTAGTGACTTTTTGGAAGTTTCCTGAAAAAGTTTCACCAACCCTTTGCTGTTGTTCTACATACTGGTTCGGATTTTCAAGATTATTCAAAACAATTCGAGCCACTCGTTATTGATTCGTTTTGGGGGCGAAATTCTTGATACTTCCATCATACATGATATAGTGCTTTGACTAAGAGGCTGATAGCACGATCAAGACCGACAATATGTGGCGATGTGTCACAACTTTCAAAGGGTTCCCTTGCTCTGGTTGAATTAGGAAATCTAGATAGAAAACCTCGACAAAGTCCGCATATAAATCGCGCTGTGGTCCGGAATGAATGAGATTATGCTTGAAAGCTTGTATACAATAGCAAATTTTTAACCAGTATGGAAGGCATAACAAGATTAGTTGGATACTGGATGAAATGTGGTTAAATGGCAACGAGGAGCTGACATTCTGGTGAAACGATAAGCTGCTGAGTATTTCTGTGGTTCATCAAAAGTATATACAACCAAGCAGTAAATGGCAATTTGAGAGATTAATAACTCCCTCTAGAGGAATCTCTGATCGATTTCTGAGCATACATATAGTTATTATGCGATTGTTCCCTTAATATACGTTATGGGTTAACACAATTTAGTGAACGATAATCGTCTCCGTTCAGACTTCAGAACATGACACCCACTTCCTCTCCTTCTTACTGAGCACAATAACCATTTGTCGCAATTTTTTCTCTCCTGCCTTGCCTTGCGATGATAGTAAATAGTATAACCTTATCAGGCCTGTACATGGAAACGAAAACCAAAGCGACTACTAAGGTCGAAAGCTGACGGCGGGAATGAGGAAGACTGAATCGGCGCACGTGTATGCAGATTGTTCGGAAGGTGCAAGTGAGGTGCGGCATGCTGTTAATTTGAAAGAAACTGTCTACTATATCTTAAGAGAAAAGACCCTAGTCTTCTAGTTTGTGTACTAACAGGACACCGTTTGCCTTTGAAAAGTTTTAAGTCATAATCAGATGTGCACAAGACGCAGAACGAAATAGAAGAATGTAAGAGCACATCCTCAATCAGCATCCAGCTATTGGTGCGGCGGTTATGTCTCTTGGTTTCTTCCGACTCTGGAGGCCGCCGCTTAAAGGAGGGTAGGAAATGTGGTGCCAATTTTCCAGGAAAGCCATTTTTTTCATCACTGCTCCTAGACCCAAAGACTCTTCTCCATCTTGTTTGGTTCAGTTCAATAAACCAGTCGTTTCTCTTCTGTGCCAACCGCCGCCAATTGGAAATGCAAGTGAAGTGAAGCCAAGTCCTTCTCCACTTGGTATTCCCATCGCAGAAGAAGCCTCCCTCTTCCTGTGCTATCATTAGAGGGTTCCAAGTTAAATACCTTTTGGGCTGAAGCGTCTATGCTCATTCGAACGACATAGCCATGCCAGTGGAGCTGGCGTATCTTAATTCGCTGCAATATGTCCATGTCGTTGTAAAGATCATACAGCCAAAGCGTAAAGGTCCGTAAATCTTCCGAGAGCGGACTTTAATTCCCGATTGCCTATGGATTTTAATGGTTTCTGCCGAGCCATGCAGTGACCAACCTAACCTTAATATGACTTGGAGTCTATTCAGACTACTGAAAGATAAGAACATCTATCGTTACAAGCGAATCGATTTCAACCTTTCAGAGCAACCAAACGTAGGGGTTTTTTTTTAACTTATACATCAAGTAGCGCAGACTATTTAGCCTTCCGTCTGTATATACATTTTTCTTACATAGTTTGTGTTCTGGGATACAAATTTACCAGACAAAATTTTCAATAAAAATCACCTAATATTTAAAACTTGTATACTGTTTTCAGTATGCGGGAAATAAAACTTCTACTTATTTTTTTTATTATGTATTCGTATTTTTATTTACTTTTTTTGTTTAAAAAATGTTAAAGCTACTTTTTACATATTTTTCTTAAATTTTTACTTTTTTGTTAGTTAATTAATAATAAGTAGTTGGGTTGCATGTTACTTAGTTACTTTTCACAGTTTTATTTTACAATTTTAAGAATTTTCTAAACAAATTCTACAATATCCTATGTATGTATATGTATTTGCCATTTTGGATGTTTGCTAGGTGTTCGCTATTTTAAAAATATTTTCGTTTGCCTGAAATTATAATTTTGTACTTCTTTTTACAATGCTTTTTTTTTAATTTGAATTGAATTTTTTAACCAATTTGGTATTAACTAAGAAAACCATTTTCCAGCGCTAATGAATAGTGCATTGTTATAGCGAAGCGCCTTTTTTAACCTTTCCTTTACAATTCGTATTAGCTGAGGATTCGTATTAGGGATGAAGCTCTCTCTGCCCATAATTTTTGTAAACTAGTGGTGGGCAGCCCCTTGCCCGCGGGCAGAGCTCTTTTAAGCTGCTGTCTTTCATTTTACATTGACGCATGCAGTGTAAAAGCTCTCTCTGCTCATAAATGTTTTAAACATACATTTGTAAATATTTTTGCTTTCACAGAATTTAGGTCAACTATTTTAACGTTTCTAGTCAAAATCTATGCAATTCTGTCAGCTGAAAAGTGTAAATACATATGTGCGATTTATGTTATTAACAATTTTATTTTATTTGTTTTGGTTTTTCAGTGGTAAATTCTCATAAATTTAATTATATTGTTAAATGCGTTTTTGATTTTAAATAAACTGACGCTCTATTACATTTACACACATATGTATATAACTTAGGCGCGATTGTCCGTTCTTAAGCAACGCAAATTTTTTCATTTTGTTCCTTACAACTTTTTTCAGTTTTTTATTTATGAAGACGTCATATTTCTGCACACATATATTTTTTCTTAACTTTATTTAATATCTACCATACACACAAATAAATATGTTTATTAGGGTGGTCCTTAAAATATCAACATCAAAAATTTTACATAATTAAGACATCCTCGACGATTTCAGAATTTTGCTACCCCTAATTTTTTTTAAACTTTCGTGGATGCCTTTATTTTGTAGGAGTTTTCTCTCCATGATGCGGATATTTTTAAGAACCACCCTAATGGTCATATATACATACATTTTTATGTATCATATTTTTATTATTCTAATAAATACTTTATTAAAACTTAGATACTAACAACTTTCACTTTATAGTTATTCACTAATTTAACGGTGTCACGAAAACAATTGCATGCATTTCTACTAACAACTACTTAAAACTTACTTGTTTTATTTAAATATAAAATTTTACTTTTTATTAAGCCAATTTTAATAATAAAAGATTTATTAATAATTTTTTAACACAAAATATGTAGATATATTTTTTGGAAATTACAATTTTTTTTTAATTGATTAAAAAAAATTTGATTAAAACACACTCACACATCTTTCTTGTTATTAAACTACCTGATTAAACGATTACGATGCCTCTGTATATTTTATTGCCGGATTATATAACCGGATAACCCAAAACCCGGAAGGACGTGAAGACGATCCCACAACAATCGCGTATTCGTAATTTGAACGAACAGCTGTTGACACAACAAAACGAAGCCAGGTAGTTGTGAAGAGATAGACATTTGGGTGGTGCTGAAAATATCAACATCAGGAGGCACACCTTTTTTTGTTCTACGTACTAAACAAAGACATCCACAAAAATTTCAAAATTAAAAAAATTAATTCCTAGGAGGGTTTGAAAAAATTAAATTTTTTAAATTTGCAAAAGATCCACAAAGTTTTGCTTTTGAATTTATAACTCAGCTGGTTTATGAATTTATATGAAAACCTTTTAATATATAATTAATTTATTTATTTATCTTTAAACAAAATATACTAAAATTGTTTATCTATTTTATTTTATTTGTCGCTGTGAACAACTAGGGCTCAATACACCTACATAAATATGTACATATCTTAAATCATTTATGCATAAGTAGCTACTTATCTAACATATTTTGTGTTTTCGCATTAAGTGCATACATATCAGGGTGGCCCTTAAAAGATCAGCATCAAAATTTTGTATGGGGCACTTTATTTCGTTTTGCGTACTAAATAAAGACATCAACCAAAATTTCGAAATTTTTTTAATAATTTTTAGTGGCCGTTGTAAGGGATTGAAAAAATTTAACTTCAAAAAAAATCAAAAAAATTTTTACTTTTACAGCTATATTCCTGCGAGCATTTTGAGCTTTCCGATTAAGCAAAATTATGGTATGTCAATTGACGCGTACTAGAATTGGCTTTCTAACGAAATACTCATTAATCACATTTGTCAGTTAAGCAAACAAAAACCTATACACAAAAAAATAACATAACCTCCAGAATCTGCCCATAGAAAAAATGAAAAAAATATGCGTTTTGAGCTTTAGAAGTCCATACCAATTACCCCTTACACATGAATTTCTTAGTATTTTTAAATAAGATAATTTGTAATCCAGTATTATGTATTTAGAATTTTGGAAAAATTTGAAAAATGCTCCGCTTATTCCGAAAAATTAAAAAAAAAATGGCAGTTATTGGAGCTTGGTATTGCAACCCAATCGGCGTTGTCTTTGAATTTATATGAATAGTTTTTACCAAAGATTTGAACAAATTTAATTCTGCCAATTTTTTGTTAATTTCGATATTTTTGAACCCTGGTAGCGACAGAAAATTAATTTAAAACATTTTAAAGTTTCTTAGATATTTAGCGGCCGCTCCAAAAGTTTGAAAAAATTTAATTTTGTATTTTTTTTTTAATATTTTTGAACCGCTAAAAATTATATGAAACATTTTAAAGTTTTGTGGATGTTTTTATTTTGTGCGTAAAGGGGTGCCTTCGACAGAACTTAGATGTTGATACTACATACTATTTAATTTGCTATATATAAACAAACATTACTTTTAAACTACCGCTCCAAGTTCACGGTGCAATTCTTTATTCGCATTCTAATATTTTTTTTTTACTTAAGTTGTTAATTTACAATAGGCGATTACACATTGACGTGTGTATGTATACGAGTAAATATATACGAGTATACTAGTTAGGTAGGGAACCTAAAAATACCCTGCAGGGAAACCGTGAACTATGTAGTGAATAAAATTTATACTTCCGTATTAGCTTTTTATCGCCGAAAACGAACCGGTCCACTTTTTTCATTAGAAATCTATATCTAAGCTGACGAATTTAGAACTGGTTCAGAACCAAAGAAAAAGGGATTCAGAACGAACTAGATATGTGTTTGGCGGCTTTTGCGTTTAAATACGCTTCCAATCTGCATTTCCCACACTGAGCCAAAGTGACCCCTTTTTTGCGACTTTCTGAAAATTTTCAACGGCAACACTGCAGCTATCCACGAAAGCCACTTAAGTTGTTAATGAACTGCGAAAACAATTTTGAAAAATGCTTTTGACTTTGCGTTATTCAAATTAGCGTTATTTAAAGTAAACACTTGCATTTTAAACTTTGCCCGGAAACCTGTTTCAGGCAAAGTAGAGGGCGTGTATACCTAAAGGCATGTTTCACAATATCGTAATTTATGGCTCATTCGTAATTTATAAGCAAATCATGTTGAAATCAAATAAATTCACCCTGTAAAATCTGTCAAAAAAAATAAAAATTTTAATTTTCAAACAGTTGGCAACCTTAACCAAGAATATTTTCAGCTGTAGGCCTCCTTTAACCTTTATTGCAATATCTACTTTACCGTATCACTATGCTATAAAATGAGTTCTCTGCTTTTACGCGCAATTAGTGTTGCCGTTTTATAAAAAAGTACTGAAACAGAGTTTTAAAATTTTTTAGTCATAACAAATGTTGCTTCAAAAACATATTTAAATACAGAATTAAAATTATTGGTTGGCATTTTTTTATTAGTGTTAGTTGCTTGAGTATTGGCGTATTCTTGCATATGTAATCTTATGGCTATTTGTATAAGTAGTATTTACTGCAAATATGTATATTGTATGCATTTTAATATTGTTTCGTTTTGATAACACAAGTTAACAACTATTTTATTTAAGTAATTAATTATTGTTTTGATACTAAACTATTGTAACTGTAATCTATATATAGTATAGGTATGTATGTATAAGAACATGCAAGTATGTATGTTTGTATTACATTTACTTATTAATTACGTAGTTAATTTACTTATTAATTTATAGTTAATTGTTTTTATTTTCACAAAATTTGTTCTTCATCAGTTTCCGGTGACTCCGGTAATATAATAATAATTAAAAAAACTTATCAGACAGACACTTTTCTGACGGTTTAGAGAAAAACAGTTCAGCTATTTAGGAATACATATCGCACACCGTCTTCAAAGGAGTCACAACTCAAAATAATACGCTCGCCAGAAAATGCGAAAAGCTATTTCGTAGCACATGCTAATCATATGTGAAAGGGCGACTCGACCTTAGGTTTTTTTTTTCAACAAATTATAACAAAAATTTGCTCCAGCTTTTGCTGAAAGGTAAATAAAAGCTCTGTGTACATTATTAGCACATAATTTCAAAAATGCCAAATTTTGAGTTGAGACTCTTTTGAAGACGGTGCGCGATATGTACGTTGCCAATACTCAGTTTGCAGTAACCTCTGAAAACAGGTTTATTTTATTCAAACAACAGCAGTTTTGAGATACTTTTTGAATTACATCTTTTGTAAATCTCCCCAAGAAAATACGTTACATTGCCAATGTAGCATTTTAAGATATCACCGCATTGCCAGGTTGCTCATATTGACAACACAAGTCTCGTATCCGTTTTGTACTTGTACTTGTATAATAGATCCCTTTGTTTGTTTGTTGCAGTGCTGTCTCTTTTTTAATTTCTAAATTACAAATATCAGCTGTTTCCTTTGCTGTTGTGCTGCAAATGTATTTTTTATTACATAATTCCTTTTTTATTTGCTCTGTCTCTTGTTTTCTGCCTTTTCATAGCCAACGGTCTTCGCTGGACTTCTGGCTGTCCGCTCCTTGGCGCTTTACTTCGCCACCGGTTTCACTTCCAACAGCTGTGGATAATTTTCTACGATATTCAATAATATTGTATCGATATAATGCTTTAGGCGGGTGTTCTCATCTTCCTTCTCTTGAAAGGCCTGTTGCAACTGCAAAAAAAACGAATAAAAAATTGTATAAGTTAATATTTATCGCTTTGTGAAATACAAAAATAATAGATAAAGAAAAAAAGTGTTACTTATACTGTAAGCGTAGGATAAGTTAGTCAAATTGTAGACCCTTGAACCGATAGATGTATTAAATATTTATATACCGCATACTGTGTTTTGAGCTATCGCCTTTTTCATGAGGCGTCTCATTCACCAAAAACTGCAGACCTAGAGTTAAGTTTGCACATAATTCAGAGGACAAGGCATTTACATGCTCATTGAAAGATTGGTAGTTAGGAGATTTCCTACTCTATTCTAATGGAGTCTTCCAGATACCTGTATGTCTCCGCTCGTAAAGGTGGACAGTATATGCATACGTTAGACATACTCCAGAAGTAATACTCTAGAAGTAAGCTAACTCACAAGGTGGAACCTTATCCCCTCTGCTTTGGGCCTTGTCAGTAAACCAACTGCTCAGAGACATGAAGTGAGCAATTTCCGCAAACATTATGTTACGTTATGCAAAGAATACTAAGAGAGTGGAAAAGTAGGCCAACGAAAACTGTCGTGGAATAAACCCGAGCAAAGCGGAGCTTGTATTATTTTCCATAAGGAATAAGATTCTAAAATTAAAGGCCCCTACTGTGGCGAATACGGAACTTGCAATCAGTGAATCTACTAAATATCTGGGAATCATACCGGATAAGAAATTAAGCTGCCGGGACACAAAGGTATACCAGGGCACTTCCCTTCCGGTCGCTACCAGCAGGCTCAATATACAAGTATACTTCTTCTCCGAAGCAGGCAAAAGATGAAAGATGTTGGGAACATGCTATACGGAAAAGCTGATATGTCCGGGATGGGATGCGAAAAGAAAACGAACTCCTAATGCTTAGGAGGGGAGAAATCTCTTTAGTTACGGGTCTGCTGGCCGGTCTCGTCACGCTAGGTAGGCGTCTCACGCGTCGCGAGATACCATAGCATTCGCTTAGAAACTTCGACTGTCACTTGGACGAAGTCCCAAAAGTCAGCAGTATTCTGTGGGAATTTACCCGTTAGGAGTTTATTAGAAGGTGGAATTTCTTGAGAAGATACAAGCAAGAAAGCACTTTTCCTGATGTAGTTTTGTTTAGCATTGACAGAGCTTTGCTGTTCCCTCAAAGCTGTTAGTTTTGTTGTTGCGGTGGCTATAATAAACCTTGACTAGTTCGCTTAGTTTCGAGAAAGTAGAGAATTTCGTTTACTTGGGAACCAGCATTAACACCGATAATAATGTCAGCATTGAAATCCAACGCAGAATCACTCTTGCCAACAAGTGCTACTTTGGACTGAGTAGGCAATTCAGGAGTAAAGTCCTCTCTAGACATACGAAAACCACGCTCTATAAGTCACTCATCATGCCGGTGCTGGTATATGGCGCAGAAGCATGGACAATGACAACATCCGATGAGGCGGCTCTTGGAGTGTTTGATAGAAAGATTTTGCGGAAGATTTACGGGCCTTTACGCGTTGGCGACGGCGAGTACCGCAGACGATGGAACGATGAGCTGTATGAGCTTTACAACGATATAGACATAGTGCAGCGAATTAAAATACAGCGGCTCCGCTGGCTTGGTCATGTCGTTCGAATGGACACCGACGCTCCAGCTCTGAAAGTATTCAACTCGGAACCCGCTGGTGGTAGCAGAGGAAGAGGGAGGCCCCCACTGCGATGGAAAGATCAGGTAGAGCAGGACTTGGCTTCACTTGGCGTTTCCAATTGGCGTCAGTTGGCACAGAGGAGAAACGACTGGCGTGCTTTGCTGAACTCGCCCAAAATCGCTTAGGCGGTTACAGCGCCAAAAAGAAGAAGAAGAAGTTCGGTTAGCCTTTTATGTCGCTGCCGGTAAATTTTAATAATGAATAGGCTCTGGAACGTCTTGTTATGATGGAATCGTGGGTTTGTTAAGAGGTGGTTGGTTTTGTGTGAGTTTGCTCCACACGCCGGACATGTAAATATTGTGACGACCAACCTCCGGCATCATAGCCGAAGTGCAGAAGTCGACAAGCCTGAAACAATATAGGCTATGGAATGGTGAATGATGGAGACAGATGGAGGAACAGCCAAGATACATTGGTGACTTAAATCTTTTTCAACACTCTTGCTTAAATTTTAAATTACTGTCTGACTTTTTTTCTGAGTGTACAATTCGTATCTCTGCTGCACTTTTCCTCTATGATGAAAAACGATATTTTTCGGTCGGCACCTTAAAACAGATAGATAGTGGATTCATACCTTAATAAAATAGTTCCCAAACCCAACAGATTTTTATTTTAAGGTTTATATAAAGGAGTTCACCTAATTCATAGCTATGACAGCCCAAAATTTTTCTGAACATTCCAATTTTTCTGAAAATTCCAAATTCTTCATGCAATTTGGCTAATCTTTTTTTCTTTATTTAAATATGTCCAATGGATTTCCAAGAAGATAAGCTTAACTACACAAAAATTAAATATTTGTTAGTATTTATATGGAATTTTGTTTTTTTCTCCATACCCACACATTTGTATGCTTGTGTTAGATAAGTTTCCAAAAACCGTTCATTATTTAATAAAGTATAATTGACAAGTTAAATGTCTACGAAATTACTTAAAACTTAATATAGAAAAAATATTAATATTCCTAATTGAAATTCGTAGAATGTCGAGAGTGCAATTTTTGGTGCCCAGTATTTCCGAGCTTTATTAAGTATGATGAAGTGATGATGATGATTTTTTATAATTATCCTGTATCTTAATTTAAATTATCTTTCGGCGACACTAATATAAAATATGAATATTTTCCCGCAACTTTAAAATTTGAGGATGTCGATTATTCAAAGCCAATATTAAAGAGCCTTAGACCCATGCAGACTTTATCCTCTTTCTTCTGGTTTTTTTTGGATATACTTTTTTTTTGGAAGACGTTCACATTTTTTTTTCTATTTTCCCGCTCTCTGTTTTGTGTTTAAGTTGGAATAAGCTTTGCGGTTCCAAAACACTTTTTTTTACCGAATTTACTTATATTACTTTGTGTTTATATTTCAGAGGTTTTTTGCTTTTTTGACACTTCTTCTCAAATCCTTACAGTCTTTCTCTTGCAAAGTTAAAAAATTTTGCGACTCGAGGAGACTTGGAGATGTTTTGAAAGCTTTAAGTAGCAGGATGAACACGAAGTCCACTGAAGTCCACGAGTAGCCGCAAAGAACATAGAATACATAGAAGTTGCGAAAGTAGGCCGGTAATCTACCTTTTAGAACGGTAGTGCACCCGCCAGGCTTACTCAAATACATAATACAATTTCAATTATTTCAATTCCTTTTTGAATTCCAAGGGTTAATTACTACTGACGCGGTAACCGTACTGGCCAATGTTGCAGGTTCTTTCTAAGCTATGTTCTTTGGTAGACTTACATGAATTGCATTTATACCAGCAACCGCCAGTGCTTTCACTTTCTAAATGAAGCTTTAAAAAGCTTCTATCTCGTCATATGTTTTGGTCGTAACTGATACGAGTACCCGCGAGTTAAGAGTGCGGTCACCCACGAACGTATACGTATACGTAGCGTAGCGTAGAAGGTCGTAGAAACATATCAAGTTTGCTGTTGGTAGAGAAAGATAAGATATGTCACGGTCATGCGGTGGTAAGGTCTTGTTAACACCGTTACCGTTCTCTTCATATTTGCAAAGTTTCACAAAGGTGGGACAGCGTTTACTATTTTTGGCTACGGCTTATATGGAGCTGCAACACTGTGCAGCGCCTTCTCATAGATAAATTGCTCACTAAAGATTTTTAAGGTGACTTTAACCCTGCTAGTGAAGCTTCAGAAGACAAAGCAGGTTTCCGCGTAGTGTTTTCTTACCAATTTTCGTCATTCGTTGTCAAATTTGGTTTGTGAACCAAACGGTTTTGGCCGGCGCTGGATATAAATATTTCTAGTTTCATTTCTTTTTACTTGTCCTACATCCATTTGAGGCCTTCTTGAAGAGTAACTTGATAAACTTTATACAGTTTATATAGTTTTTTTTTCAAAAGTTTCATAATTGCGCACATTTTTCCACTCTGTTTGGATCGCTCTCCATCGTTTTCTCTATTTTATCTATTATTTTTTTAACACAAGACCAGCTTTTAAGCTTCAAAAAATTATATATTTTTTTGATTTTCTTTTAACCAATCACCAATCCCAAACCAGAAGGTATTAAGCCAATCCATCGAAAATCTCAAACCATTTCTAATTTTCCATTTATTCACACCGCGATTATTATTACCTGACTTAGAGATGCTAATGTGGCTGAATCCACAGAATCCTGTAAAAGAAAATAAATAAAAGAAAAGAGAATACAAAATAATAAACAACATATACATAAACATGGAGTATGTGAGCGATATAACGGTGTGAAACGATTACAAGAGCATGGGCGGACACGAAACAAAGAAGAAACCAAAAACGGGCGGACAAAACGAACAAAAAATTAAACTGAAATAAAAAATTTTGCTTAAGTTAAACTTTGAATAAACTTAAAATCGAAAACAGCTAACAGCTGTTGCTTAAAGCTTTGAGCTTATTATAAAAGTTTCAAAAAAGCTCAAGTTTTAAAAAACGAACTCTAAAGCATTCCTGCGGTATGTGCGCATGTGTATGTGTTGTGTGTAAGCTTCTGAACTACGCTAAGCTTAGCTAAATGCAGCGTATGTGGTTTGTGCTTGTTTTTGTTTTTTATGCGAAAGCATGAGCGACGGGGTTAGAGCGACAAAAGCTTAGCTAAAACAACTAAAAAAAACCTCTCGTAGGGAGCGTAAGTGCAGTGTATAAATTTTTTGTTATTCCTTCCTTAAAATTTTAATCAAAATAGGTAATGCAATCGACACCCACCTGTGCTTGTGACATTTCCTCTAGCTCTTGCGCCAAGCTATTTAGCGTGCCATTGAGCAGATTGCGGCCCTCTTCCACGCCGCGCGTCAGCACTTGCGCCTGCAGCTCTTCATTTTGTTCCTCCATTGCTAAATTATTATGGCATGAAAATTAAGTCTCGCACCAGCAAAAGTTAAATTATTAGCAACTCACCTTTATTTCTTTGCCGCATCTCCTCCAGCTCTTTATGCAGCTCCTCCAGTCTTATTGTCTCCGGTGAGGTGGTCGGCAGCGCTGGTCCAGTTTCTGCGCGTAATCGTTCCAATTCTTTACTCAACTCTAGCATCAGCTCTTCGGCTGCTTTCTTCTCATCTTCATATTTACGTTCACGTTGCGTCGCCTCATCGAGATCCTGTTGGAGTGCGGCAATTTGATCGCGCGCCAATTCATATTTTTCTTCGGTGCGATGCAGATCGTTGGCTTGTTTGTCGCAGAGTACACGCAGACGTTGTGCCTCTTCACGTAACGCATTGGCTTCTAATTCAATTGTTTTGACTTTTATTTGGCAATTTTCATTTTGGAGTGCCGCTTCCCGTTCGACTCGGGCCAGCAGTTCACGGTAACGTTTCTGTTCCTCGGCCAGGCGTTCTTCAGCACGGAGTTCGGACTAGAAAAAAAGTTTGTAAATACATAGATAAAATTAGTGAACGGTTCAGTTATTTGCTAACGTTTTAAGGTTTAATTTTGAGATGTGACTTTTGTAGCTGTCCGACTTTCTGTTTCTTGTCTTTGGAGAGTAGTTTCGCCAACTAATGCTCTTAGCATCGATTAATATTATGATCTAGAATCCTTTTTTTTTTTAAGGGAAGACGTTACCTCACAGGTGGTGCCATACTAATTTGGTTTAAATCCGATCAGTGGATCAGAAAGAAATCAACGATAATCTTAGATGTTTATGTGAGATTTGAAGTCGGTTTTGTTTTTTGCTTAAAAATTACTTGTTGTTTTGACAAATTCAAGGAATGGACATTGGATTTCTCCTGGTTTCAGAACCACACACATATGTATGTATGTACCTAGTATGAAGACCTGAGTATGATGGCCCGACTATAAGTGAGACTGGCTCTCAGAACTCTAAATGTCGTTGGATTATTATCTTCGGGCTCAATTAAAATTAATTTTCGCAAGTCGTGAAACCTTTGAAGACATGAATTAAATGGCTTTAGCTGGCTTTGTTTTCCTAATCTTCTTCTGCCGCTGCTTTTGTTTATTCACCAGGATTGACTACACCCTGCCGAGCACCGTCCCCCTTTTCGCGGAATCATTGAGGACATAAATTAGTGGGAGGAATGTTCATTTAACTTATTTAGTGCTTCTCAACAAAAGATTTAGCTTATGAAGACCACAACGTTTCAGTTGCACGGGCAAGCCACTGACCATACGTATATGTACAAATAAGTAATCTCTTCTCCTACAGTATGCGTCACCTCGTGTTAACAAACTAGGTACCCTTTTCGCTACCCTGATAAACGCACTAAACGTCATTGCGATCAGTCTCACCAGTACTGATCTTATATGACAACCATGCTTCTATAGGAATTTACTCATTCAAGACTATGGCTCGTTGGGAAATATTATAGCACCAATTAATGACCGAAAAATCTACCAGAAGTGTACATAGAAATTCTTGGATCAATTCCAAATATTTATTCTTCCTTCCACATTGCACTAGGGATAAGCTCAAACTAAGCTTAAGGGTTGGTCACCTGGAGGAATCCTATGGAGTTACACCTAAACTAGAAGACCTGTTATCAGCTAAGCAACTGTGATGTGGTCGATCAGACTCTTAAATAACAGCGTTGGATATCTGCCTACTGAGGTTCAAGGAGCTGAGGCTTACACATTGTAAAAACTTTACCGATGACTCCTCAATCAACATCCTCAAGTCCATTAACTACGTGGTGGAAAATATGGTGCTGCACTCAAGGCATTTTCCAGGCTTCTAACTACTTTCAAACTAGCTCGTCAATGAGTCATCTGACAATTTGGCCAGGGAGTTCGCAGACCGAGTATTCCTCGATCTGACGGAAACTGGGTGAATATTTCACTTAACAATGAATAGGAGACTTTGAGTGGGTGCAGTTGGACAAAATTCATGTTGCCCTCTGTCTCAGAGGTTCTCGCTAGGTATTTGCTTCTAAGCAGATTGGACTGCAAATACCTTGTGAGACTGTTGCCTGGTCACTTTTCGTGACATAGGCACCTGACTGTGACAGGCATACATGACAGCCCTATTTGCCCACCCTACCTTGAAGGAGATGAGACCGCGGAAGACTTTTTTGTCCAGACCCCGCCTTCGCAAAAATTAGAGATTATATTACAATGAACACCTGAGCTCTTTAATACCCAACAATCTGCCTTCGACCTTCGTCCATGAAAGCCACCGACAGAAACTGGGTGAATATTTCACTCGACAGTGACTGGGAGGATCTGATTGCAGTAGGAGAAAAATCATGTTGCCCTCTAACTCAGGGGATCTCTCTTGGTATTTTATTGAGCCGATAGGACTGCAGGTAGCTTGCGAGACTGTTGACTGGTCACTTTTCGTGGCATAAGCACCTGACTGTCAAAGTTATACATGCGGCTCCATTTGTCCTTCCAACCTTGAAGAGGATCCGACATTGGAGCCTTCGCAAAATCATTTCTGAGTTGTTCGTAGATCGTGCAAATTTGAAACAGAATAAATGGGATACGAGAACAGTACAATGGACGGCATGCAGTCTGAGTTCCGTTTTTTGTGCGCATAGTTTTGTTATCTTCTTTTTCTTGATTCGCGCTAGTGAGTACAATAAAGCACCCCAGTCGTTTCTCTTCTGTGTCAACTGAAAGCTCATAGTGCTCGCAGTTCCATCGTCCGCGGAATTCCACAACACCAACGCCCAAAGGCCCGTAAATCGTCTGCAGAATTTTTCTTTCGTTCACTCATTGCTATATCTACAAAAAAAAATAAAAAAAATCCGATCTTCTGGCTTGCGGCGCTCAAAGAGAGCCAACAGCCTAAAGAGCTGGTTTCGGAGTTCTAATTTAAGCCTTTCGATTTCGCGCGAAAACTATAACCTTCATCGATAAGAATTCTTAGGAAAGCTCTTTCTTGAGCTAATAGCTTTCAGTCATTAAAAACTTGATTCATTCAAAATTTCTTCACTCACCTCCCGATATTGCTCCTCGAGCATGTGATAGCGCGTCTGTAGCACAGCATATTCTGTCTTTGTGCGTGTCGTGCGATCTTCGGCGATATTCTGTGTGTCAGCTAAATCAGTGACTTGACGCTGTAGCAGTTCCAGCTGGAAAGAGATAAAGAAAGAGAATAGGAATTAGCAAGAGTGGAAGTATCAATGCGGGTATGTATTTTTGTATGTATATAAGTAAGTGTAGATAAGAAGAGCGTGAGCAGCCGACTGATAAGCTGAAATTCATGTAAGAATTGTATTGCATTTGTACAATGTCTCAGCGAGCTGTCGCGTCGCGCAGGGCAAATGTCAATTCCATTAATTCTTCATTTTTTAAATATACATTTTTCATTATTTTCAATTAGTGACAATACTAACACAATTACTCTTTAGTATGCGTAAATCGCCAAGTAGATCATCAATTAGCAACACATCCGCCATTGGAGTTTTCAAATGCATTTGTTGAATGTTACTTTTTTTGATGGCTTCAAAATCAATTGTTTAATTTTAGGAAAATTTGAATATTTGTTTAATGTTGTTCTGGAGATTACAGCATTTTTTGTTTGTGCGTGTGTGTGTGTGTGCGATTCTGTTGTTGGTGCTCATTCAAATTCACTTTACAATTTATGATTCATCATCGCAAGAAAAACTTGTATAAAAAATTGGTTTGAATCCCCAAATGCATTTGCTTTGCTGCCAGAACTTCTGCATGCATGCCTGTATGTATGTACATATATGTATATTGTTTTATTTTTCCTTTTTACAATAAAATTTAATTTGTGCATTTATTTACACACGTCTTATGCGCTGTCACACTCATAAACAACTGAACTTTGCAACACATTTTGCTCTGTGTAAAAAAATATTTGTTGTTAATTGTTGATGGTTGCGAGGAGTTAGCTGCTGCTATATATATACTATGGAGCTGATGAGCTAACTGATGAGCGAGCGGGTGGGTGGTCCGATGATGACGATCTTGCTATGTTTACAGCAATCGATCTTTAGCGTTGGCGTGTCCCATCCCCACTTTTATCCATAAACAACTAAACGTTTTGAATAATTTTTCCTACGCTTCAAACTTTGCTAAAATGCAATGCAAAGTCATTAAATAAGCTCTTCGCATTCTACTCATCATTTTTTATTTTATTTGTTATTTACTTTTTTTTCCTATTTATTAACCGCTTCCTTACACGGTCGTCATTCATTTATTATCGTTGCCCGCTTAGTAAAGCATACATATGTACATTCAAAGGTATGTACATGTATCTGACTACAGAAACCCCATCTTCATTTTGACTTCACCGGCTAGGAAGTCATTGCCAGTTACTAGGCGTGAAATGCCTTGCAAACTCTTGTATACACTTTGCGTTCGCGCGACCAGCAGCAGTGACTGCAGCAACAAGCTGACAAGCAACATGTCTTATCTAATTTGTTTGTATACTTACAAACTTGAAACAACTGTTAACTGAGCACTACAAGCGTTTAAGTGCGATAAAGAAAGGTAAATACAGGGTGTGTAGTCAAAGAAAGAGAATGAATTTTTTAGTTTTTGTGTTATGCTTTCGAAGAGATAAAGACGAGTCCATCTTGCCTAAGCAGCAGGCTCGAAGTGGACCTTGTTGATCACGAATTTTGAACACAAGAACTCATAGAAATTTTTTAAAGGTATGTAATTTTATCAAGAGGTCAAAGGTTAGGTAAGGGGGAACACACTTATACATTAATTAGATCGTCCATTGTGTTACCACATTACACAAATTATTTGAACGTTAACTAGAGGTTCTCTGTGTAGAACTAGGACAAGCACTGGATGTTCCAAACAAAGTTCCGTAGTCAGCTGATGTCCACTCCGGAGAACTTTTCGGGAGTGTTGATTCATCAGTCCTGCAGTTACCAGTGATGTCACTGTGGGACCCAAATAAGATTGATTTGGAAGTATTCTGAGGCGTTTGAGCGAAAAGTCAAGCATTCTCTGACCAGTTTCAATCGTACCATTAGCGATGCCAGAGCCCTGATTGCCGCTTGGCTATCAGAGTAGATTATTACCCTCCTAGTCGGCAAAACATTAATCCATAGCCAATCGACTGCCTCTTTTATAACGCCACTTCTTCCCGAAAGACGCTGCAGACATCCGACAGTCTTAATATAAGATCTATTGAGAGTTGCTGATATTAGGCACCTCCTTCTACCCTGCCGTTCAGCTTCGATCTGTCCATGAAGATGTTTACTCCAGAGACTGCCGCTGTCCCACTCGCCCCTTAGAGGAATGTGCCGCGAGAAGATCCGTTTGGGGTCAACCTCGAAAACCTCTTATCCATTTCCACATATAATGTGATTGGTTGATTACGGTTTCATATAGCCAGTATATTACTTTTGGAGAGAAGCCCCATCTCTTTCCTTCGGCATTTTCATAGCTGCATTCGCTCCTAGATATTTTGGCTTCCATGATAAGTTGCCGTCAAGGCGTCATGCCCAAGAACTTTACCTTGTCAGAGAGAAAAAGTGAAGCACCCCCTTTTGAGGGAAGCTGGGCATGAGGCGCATCTCCTGGTGAATAGTATGAGCTGCGACTTTCCAGGATTTAAAGCCAGTCCGCAGCTAGTACAACAATTTGTAACTAAATTTTGATAAGACCATCCAGATTGTCCAAGAACTTTCTTCTAACGATGAGTTCCACATCATCCTCCTTTCATCCTCTTTTTCAACTCCCAAGGAGTAAATTATCCACAATACTTCAAGCTGAGATACAGCTGCTTCAACCTGCGCCGAGTAAGCTAAGTTTTAACTACAAAGGGCTATGCACAGACGTCCATAAAGCCAAGCCACCATATAGCTACCCAACGAAGCACATTGGCAGGGTTAAAATCACACTCTGCGATGGCGTCAGCTTTTTTATCCGGCAGCTCCTGGTGCATGCGTTGGTGAGAAAGGTCGAAACTTAGGTGACCAGAAGTCTGCACATCCTCCGAGAACCCTGTGCGCCTCTACCTTCCATCAGCCTTAAAAGCCATTGGCTTCGCCAGACTATGTTTGTTAATGTTAAAACACGACGGTGCAGCAGGAGTAGAATTCCTCAAATTGTCTTTGGCCACCCGCACCATATCCCACATGTGAAAGTCTGGAAGTGCGATCCCGCTACTAAAACCCAGGAAGCCAGAGAACAAATGGGAATCTTATCGGCCGATGACTCTCATTTCTCCAGTAATGAAGACACGGCTACTTCCATACTTTCGATGCCACCTGACCCTAGCTATGGGCCAGCTTGGCTTCCTTTGCGCCCTGCCTGCGCCCCTCTTAGTAGCTTTGAACTATTTATAGACCTTTGGCAACACACAAGAAAATTGGTCTGCCGTTTCTTAATTCCATCGTTTGTGACGAAGTGTAAAAGGTTGTACAATTTCATGCTCAGCAAACAATTTCTGCTCGTCTGCTCCGTTGAGAACAGACACTTGCTTGATACAGATCCACCTATAAGATAACCATGCAGCATATCTGCGAACTCACGAACGAGATCCAGATCAGCAGATAGGGCATAAGCGACATTCACCATCAAAGAATCACCACCAGAGTTGGGAAGGAGGGGGATGGAAATATCTGAAGTCAATTCTTCATAAAATGCGGACATACCTTTAGCTCCTGCAAGCACAGACTAAAGGCCGAATTCATCGAGGAGGTAAATCCCAGGTGGGCTGTGAAAACCACCAACCATACTACCCGGAAAATTTGGTCAAGGATTGTCGTAAAGCCATCCGTAGCTCTCACTCATCTCGATAGCTCTTCTTTCAGATTAGTAATCGGGGTAATCACCGGACACTGCCTGATGGGCACTCATGGAAAAAGGTTAGGATATCACACCAACGATTTTTCGCAGTTGCAGAGATGAGCTGGAAGTGGAGAGCATCGAACTGGAAAATTCGGTCGCAGAATTCTGCAGAAGAGGGCACCACTTACGGTTCGTGCGTGGGTCAAATCCTAGTCGAAAGTGGCACCAGCCAAGAAAGGTGTTTTCTTTGACTAAAGTCACGGCCCGATATATTCTGAGCAGACTTTTTTAGAGACCAGGGCTTGCTGGTTACTGCCATATTACGAAATTTGTAGCAAATTGAAAACGGGAGAGTTTAGTTGTTGCTCATTCGTGATTTTGGGAGCGTCATTGTTTGCTTGCTTGCACAAGCGTATTGTGTGAGTTGGAGACCGTGACGGCAGAGGCTGCCAGTTGCCGTGAGCAACAACTATCAGGATAATTTGTGGGTTACTTCCTATGTGTCTTAGGTCCACAACAGATTCTTACTCTATGTGTTTATGTATGATTAAGGTTGTGATCTCTACAATTCGGGATAGTGAATAGTTAGGTTGATTTAGGCCTTTTTTACATATCTTGAAGACACCTTTTGTGTTTAATTCAATAGTTAGCTTTGCGCACATAATAATGTTCAAAGCTCAACTTGTGGTTCGAGAAGAGACTTCATTCTGATACCATATGGGGTAAAAATATCTTCACAGCAAACTTTTCACGCGGTAAAATCCATTCGTTCATTCCACAAGAGCTGTTGCATTGCGGGATGGACAACATCATTTAAAAACAGTTTGAGAGCCAATGGTAGCAGTCATCCACGTGAAACAAAGGTAAGCTTTCAAAACATGAAAATGAATACAAAATTATCAATGAGTTAAGACCTCCATTATTTATTTATATTTATGTTTTTAGGTAACTTTTCATTCAGTATGTATTCGTTAACTATTTTTCACCCACTTTAGGTTGTTTTCAACCACCAAAATAATTGTACATATTTATATGTATGTACATATGTAGTATATGTAGTCAATGAACCGCATTATTTGCTAAATATATGTACATATATATGACACAAAAAATTGTTCACACACACAGCAGCACAAATAAAATTCGCAAAAAAGTATATTTTCAGAACAGACTATGCAAAACACGCAGTTTGAAAATCGTCGAAAAATTCGTTTAAAAATACTTTATTCCGACGCGCTTAATTCCCACAACGTTCGAGACACACATTTGACTGAGGCGGACCGACGTCAATAGGTGACCAGTTCCTTCGTATACAATTTGTTGCCCATACAACAGCAACAACAAAGAGCGT